AAATCTGTAAAAAACATTTTCAACCATTCCTGTCGTCTAAATAGATTATAGACAGTCCTAAGTCTGTTAAAATGGGAAGGAAAATGTTAGTATAGTGTAGTAYTTATCAAAAAATATTCAAGAACTAATGTTGTAGCTAAAATAATTCAGGACCCAACTAGTGTAGTAACTATAAAAATTCGGGACCCAACTAGTATAGTACCTACAAAAATCCGGGACCCAACTAGTGTAGTACCTAAAATAATTCGGGACCCAACTATAGTGTAGCAATTTTAAATTTAGGACCCAACTCGGATGCAGCCAATATAATTACGGTAAATAATATTAAGTAGGTAATTGATAATGACGTATACCTATTAAAACTATTGAAACAAAGTAGTAGTTTCAATATTATCATGCTGTAATGAAGCTAAATAAAAATATGCTACGAAGCTAAAAAAATTAGGGATTTCATGATAAAATAGGACATAAAAAAGGTTCCATTGATACTAAAAAAGTTTAAGAAACGCTGGCTTATACGGCTATTATACTTATTAGCTTATTACTTACTATTTAAATATCTTGTTCCTAAAATATAACATGCTTTTCATGCTGTTCATTTTTATCATCTTATAAGTAATTAAACCTTAAAATGATGTTCAAAACTTTAGGTATTATTAAATTAAATTATTATCTATTATCTATTAAGAATAGTTCTTTTAATAAGTACTACAGTCGACTCTCGGTAACTCGAACCTCGATAACTCGAAATTCTTGATATCTCGAATAAATAAAATTCCCCTTCAAATAATAATAACACTTAATGTTTAAATAATCTTGTTAACTCGAAAATTAATTTTTGATATCTCGAATTTTCTTATCCAAATTTAGTACAAATTGAAGACCAACAAATACAATTCACCATTACAAATAAAGAAGCGAAACTTGCATTAGAAACATTACGTAAATATACTGAAGGCAATGAAGATATGGAAGATTTATTTAAACCACTAGGTACTTTATAAAATAGAATTGAGAACAATGTTTTAAATAAACAAAAACAATTAACTTTACTCCAATTTTTTAAAAATKATAATATATAAGTAGGAATGTAAGAAAACATTTTTTTTTATTTCTCTAATGTATAATACTTAATTTAAAAATAAACATACTTTTTAAAAGTTTTTGATAACTCGAAATTTTTAGTAAGTCGACTGTATAATATTTCGATGATTATTAATACCTACATCATTGTGATGTGTGACTAGTGAATAGTGACACGTTTTAGTTTTTGCACTTATTATTATCGGCTTAGGTAATGCTTTTATATTAGAATATTACATAAAATTATTATATTTTTATGTTTTGTTCTTTTTGTATGTATTAAATAACTTAAACAATTTATAATTGAGACCCAAATCAAAATCTTAAGTAGCAAATTCCATAAATACTTATGCGAATAAGTCATAAAATATAATCTAATAGTATGATGATATATTATTTTTAAAAAATTAGGTAGATTTCTAGAAACTTTATTCTTATTAAAACCCGATTTCATATATTTACACAAGTCACATCAATCGCAATAAATTATATCAATTATGAACTATCAACTAAGACTAATTTATTGAAATAAATTATGTATTTTACTATTTTACCTAATAAATCAAAGATAATACTCGTATGACTAGAAAAAAAGACTTTTAAATAAAAAGCCAAAGAACAAAATTTCTGTTAAAACTTCAGGTACTATTATTTCTTAAATTAAAATGTGCATAACTAATAACTATATATTAACTTTTAACATCTAAATTAAGTCATACATAATATATTGTTATGTAACTAACAAATTAAAGGTACTCCGTAATTATAATACCTACATAGGTGCAAATCAAAGAGACATTATACTCATGATTTTTTCGACTGGAAGAATAAAAATCATCTTTAAGGATTTTATTCAAGTCAGTTTTGCCATGTTACTTGCAATTACTATGTAATTCAGAAAATATTTATTAATTAAAAGTATATCGGGATCGGTTTTATAATAATTGGAAGTCAATGTTCGGACTTTTTACAATAGTTTTCAGGTTTTCTACGTCTAATTTTTTTTCGGCATCATCATTAAGAGTTGTATTTATATCGATTTGTTGTGTTTCTATTTCTATGATTTCACAGTTATCGAGGTTTTTTTTAAACACATGCAATTTTGGAGTTTTGTTTAAAATATTATTTTGAT